GAGACAGAGAGTGGGAGCTCGCCAGTCAGTAAGCTTTGGCGAGTGTGGCAGATCGCATAAGTTGCGCAAATTGGTTAATAAAATTATAAATGTCTCAGCTGTGCGTCGCGTGTTGGGGGAACTTTTAGAGCAAACTATACAAATTGACAGCAATTGGGTTAATCTGTGTAGGTGTGTGTGTGTGTGTGCTGTGCTCAACAAGTGAGAAAAATTAGACGCAATTCAGCTCGTTTCGTGGCCCGTTGCAAATGCAGATGAGCAAACTGAAAGAGCTGAAGCGAAACTGGGACGATAGTTGCACACAGTGCGTTGCACGTTGCACGCTGCACGCTGCATGCTGCACGGTGCATTGTGCGGCTGCCGGCCTGCCCCTCGGGGAGTACCCTGTGCCCCTGTGCCCCTAATGCGCCCTGTCAGTGGGGCATAAATCATTGAAGGGTATAATAAACCCAACAGCGAGCCGGCACATAACGGGGCACACAGGGTGTGCTAAACGTGCTGGCCAAAAGAAATGCCTGTGGCCTGGACAAGCCCCGGCTGAGACATGGAAACAGAGTTGGCCCATCTCTGCTGGGGCACATATGCAATGTGTGCATGTGTGTGTGTGTGTGTGTGTGCCCCTAAACGTGGCACAGATAAGCTCCACCAGGCACCAAACAGAGGGCAAAAAACTACTAATGTTTGATGCCTGTTTGCTAGGCGCTGCAGCAAAAGGGGACGACGGGCATTCGGGCAGCGGCAGGGGGTGCGCGGGGGGCTAAGGGGGCTCTGCGGGCATGTTCAAATAAAATTAAGCGCACCAACAGTTGCCAGTGCATGGGTCATCAAACCGAGCGGCCGCTGCAGTCCCAGCGCTTCGTCCTGCACTTGGTATAGGGTGACCCAGCAAGAAGTTTGCAGCGAAAGAAATTGCATTTTATTACTTAGCTATTGTTCTACATATAGTATGATATATAATAGAGTTTATATACGAAAAGAAATTTTTGAATGTAATTTAAAAATACTTTGAAATTATTTTGATTATTTTTTATTTTTTTTATTCACACTATAATTTTTACTGTAAACAGCTTGATTCAAAGAGAGAACTTTGAAGCCACAGAGTGAAGAAAATCTGTAGATCTGCGAGCTATTGAAATGAAATGTTTTGTGCATCTATATGGCACGCTTTGGGCTTTAGGTGTGCTTGATGCACAGAGCCCTTTAGCTCTTAATTCACTTGAAAACAAATTTCAATGGTGAAAGTTCGAAGTTTTAATTTATATGAAATTCAACTTTTGTGTATTGTATTACTGTAGCTTATTTTGTCAATTTGTTGTTACTTAAACTTATTAGAATGCTCGACAGCTTAAATGGACATCTTAGCCATACAGGGTGTCGTTGAATGATAATGAATCGAGCTATCGGAGCCAGCTCATTTAAGTTAATGTCATTTGGCCATTACGTAAGGCTCATTAATATATTAACTAAATATAATTACGCGATTGTCAKGATGCAAATGGGAAATGACAATTGAATTGAATTGAATTGAAAATAATTGGCTTTCCCAGACCTGCGGCACCCGGTAAAGGGCCCAGACAGCAGCTTCGTTCCCGAACAAATATTTTTCGAAAGTGAAGAAAAATTAGGCACAATAAATTGAACGGAAGTTGCTGCTTAAAAAGGAAAAACAAAACGAAGAAGAAAAAAAAAAAGAACAGCGAACAAAAATAAGACAAAAGCCATTGAGGAAAAACAAGAGAAAAAGCTGGCGGAAAAAGCGGAAGCTTGCAAAATAGAAAAACACCGACAACTGGTAAATGTTGACGAGAAGGGAGGGAGAGAAAGAGAGAGAGTGAGAGATAGAGGGAGGCGAGTGGCTGTGGGGGTAAATGTTGTTGCTGGTGTTGTTTGCCTGCGGTTACTGCTGTGGCTATTTGGCCAATACACACACATACACACACACACACACATACGTGACAGCCGCTGCGTGTGCTGTGTTGAGTCAGTTGTTGTTATTGTCTAGCCATCTAGATTGAAATTCTTGCGTCGCTTTAGGCTTTTTTTTATGGCCCTCGAGCGGGTATTATAAATGTATCAGGCAACTTGTCACACATTGAAAGCAACGACTAATCTCTACCTCAATGACAATGCCAGTGCTTAAAGCGGTTTTGCGAATGAACACAATTTGTATTGTATGTATCTAGTCATAAAAATACTATATATGTATATATTAAATATGTACATCAGGCGATCGTTCTATGCTTAGCTGTTGTGACTACTAAAAGTAATTGGTCTCGCGAGGTTATTTCAATTCCAGATCCAGTTCCAGTAATTAGCCCCAGTTTCAGTTGTCAGCTGCAGTTCTAGTTCCAGTTGCTGGTTCGGATTCCAGTTGACATCTCTAGTTCCACTTCTCTAGTTCTAGTTCTAGTTCCAGATCCAGTTTCAGATTCAGCTATACTTGTCAGTTCCAGTTGCAGCGTCATTTCTAATTCCAGCTCTAGTTCCAGTTCAACTTCTAGTTCCAGTTTAATTTCTCATTGGCAGTTCTAACCTTACTTTCAGTTTTCATTATCAGCAACAGTTACATCGCTAGCTCTAATTATCCAGTTAAAATTCCAACTATAATTTCCAGGGCCCAGTATGCAGTTCCAGTGGCTAGTTCCGACTCTAATTGCCAGCTCAAATTAGTTCTAAATTTACACTCAATTCTTATTGTCAATTCTAGTTCCAGTTCGAGCCCCAGCTCCAGTTCCAGTCCTAATTGCCAATACCCACTGTTCAGATCCAATCGCCACTTTCAGTTCCAGTTCCAGCTTCAGTTCCAATAGCCAGTTAAATTGTCAATTCTAGCTCCAGTTCTCAGTTTCATTGGCTGTTCTATACATATGCCATATACCCCATTTTCTATAAATATTTTCAATCAGCTTGATTCCTACCATATCACATGCCGCTCTTATCCCTTATTAGCTAAAGTGACTTGCTTCGATCAGGGTATGTGAGCTTCGATACTTAATATTTACAACAGCTTTCGTATTGCATGTTCACGTCTCGTGTCTAGACACATGTATGTATGTATGTGTCTGCACATCCTTATACGCGGTCTCAGCACTTGTGCAGGTCTGCCAGCCGTTCAATAGAGACAGACAGTCAGGCAGTCAGATAGACTAGACAGAGTACACGGCCATGTGGCAGGTAGTAGCTGGTAGTAGCTCAGCTGACAGTCATGATTGTATAGCCTATATATACATACCTATGTATGTATGTRTGTATCTTGCATATGTGCATATATTACATAGACAGACGTTCTGTGTTGCATAGAGATTTTCAATTTCCATATTATGTTGCATGCACTGCCGTTTGCAATGCTTTTGGCAATTTCCGTTGCAAATGCCAAACAAAGGAAAACTGAGCGTAACTCGCAACACCAACAACAACAACAACAACCTCAACAGTGGCCAAACAATGAGTCAAATGAATGAATAGAAATTTTATACACGTAATGCCATCGGTTGCATTCATGCCAGCCGACAAAATTGTCGCCAACACTCCAACAGAGATAGAGAGAGAGAAAGAGAAAGAGAGAAAGAGAGAGAGAGAAGATAAGGAGAAAAACCAACAAAAGCATTTAGGCTGGGCTTTCTCATATTTCTGCTTGAGACACATGAAGTCTCAAATTGCATAAATTAGATGAGTCCATGAGTGAACCAACAAAGGCTTTGTCAACATCATTTTATAGAGTGCTGTCAGCGTATGTTAAGCCTGTCGAATATCGTCGAATATGCGAATAGCTGCGAAATTTATTAAGCTCCATGAATAAGTAGAAACCATTTTCTTAGTCTCTAGAAAGAGAAACAAACAGAGACACGTGCAGAAAATGTCCCTGTTTCTTTCTCTATTTCTTCTTCTCTTATCTTTTTGCTCTGACGCTGCTTCTCGCTGTCACTTTTTACCTCTCTCTATCACTGTGTCCCCTGTCTTTCTCTCCCTCTCTTTCTCTCTCTCTCTCTCTCTCTCTCTCTCTCTCTCTCTTACGATATATGTATATATCTCTTTCTCTCTCTCTCTCATCTCTCTCTCTCTTTTCCTCTCATTATCAAGTAAAAGTCTATCATTTGGCGATTATATATTATAATATAAAATACCAAGCCCCAACAGGCTTTGATAGAAATGAATTGGACTATACCTCTCTAAAGACTCTAACTTTGGAATCTACAGATCTCATCAATTAGCTAAGCATAGAAGTCAAGTCACTTCATTTCCTATTTTACTACATTACATTACTTTACCTTTTTGCCCCCACGGATGATATTTAGGTCTATTATGAATACCTCTTAGTCCTAATTACTGAATATAAGCAAATATTTCTGATTCGTTTTCATTATTCGCCAGATATGTGAAGCTTTGGCTGCTTAGCTCTAAGTTGTAGCTATAATATGTACATATATCTAATATGTATTATTATCAAATGTTTCATTGCGAATTTATAACTGCAGAATACTAATTGAAATTACAATCCCGAAATCCGAACCAACTGGAAATTATTGTATCAGCAGTCTTTTGTTCCGTAGACAACGGAGCTCATTAAAGGATCTATTTATGGTTGAGTTCCAATCCGATTTAAAGCTTGCTAGCTCTTTGTCCATCCTTGTCTGCTCTTGTGTCATTCTCAATTTGAGAGACTTGACAAAAATTTCCCTTGTTCGACCCGAGCAAATCCTTTAAGCTGCATTCATTCGATTGTTTGGTCGGGTGTGTTGGCCCAGGTGTGATGCCATGGGCCTGCTCCATCTATCTCCTCTTCACACCCACTGACCAAATGCAAGTTTGCTTGCCGAGCTCTAGGCGGCAGGACGTAACTATTGTTCAATTACCTCATACGCCTCCTCCTCTCGGTGAGGCGGGAGGAGTGGATTTACCAGTCATGTAAACTATTCATAGATGCCATTTTCTCTCCGTCTCTCTCACTCTCTATTTTTTTCTGCTGCTGCTGCTGCTGCTGTGGCTGCATTCAATTTCAGGTGGTAAGCATGCCGCCCGCTGAGCATCATGTGGGCACGCCCCACAGCCAGGCGGCTGGCGACGAGGACTATCAAATGGCGGCCAGCGCAAGCCAGTGGAAGGATGTGCCGGACAAGTACTTTATGGTGATAGCGCACTTGCTGGCCGGCCACATCAACGACACGGAGGACATGGAGCGCGTCAATGGGCCGATACTGAAGGCGAGCATTAAGTCGGTCTATTGGCTCTTCCTCATCCAATACGCAACCCTGGCACTGCTGGGCGTCATTCTGAACATTGCCATCATTGTGTACATCATGTATAATCGGCTCTACAAGGATGTCACGCATGCGTTCATCATCAATTTGGCCTTCTGCCATTTCGTGCAGTGCGCTCTGGTCTTGCCCGTTTCGCTGATGGTGATGCTGCTCCAGAACTGGATATTTGGTCAATTCCTGTGCTTCTTCTTGCCCATGCTGCAGGTGAGTGGCCCATAACTTATTGCTCCAGCCGGGTAGCCGGACAGCTGGCCAGCTCGCTGGCTCCAGCAAATTTTAATTAAACTTACTCATGAGCATTGTTATCTATTGCGGCTCCCAAGTCCAACTCCCATTCCCTTTTGCGCTCTCATCCTCTGCCTTATTCTCGCGCGCTCTTCCTCTATCTCTCTCTCTCCGTGCTGTGCTGTAAAGCTGCCAGCGGGCCAGATGAGCCGATAAACCTCATGGCACTATGACAAGTTAATAAACTTAACGCAGTCTGCTTTATCGGTTCTGGCCTGGCCTCCGCACAATGGCCCACAGACAGACGAGAGTTGGACCGTGCCGCTGTGCCTCTGCCCGTGTCCGTCTCCGTCTCCGTCTCCGTGTAGCTGAAAACAAAGTAGAGCACAGATCGGACCGAGAGCAATAGATAAGGGCCAATAAGACACTAAAATATGAACCAAGTGCAAACAATGAATTCAAATGATTATTGGGATTTTCGCCATCTGCGCCGCTGCTACTAATTTCCTTTTCACTTTGCAACTAAAGTCTTAAGATAATTTCTTATGCTATTTAATCTCTACTTGAGTTTGGCTTTTGTTAGGCTGCATAATACTTGGCATTACATGTGAATGAGTAAATGTATATTAAATTATGGTAATTAGTAAATGCATAATTATATCTTAGTTTTCCATTAATCATGTCATTGACCAACACTGGCAATGAGGCAAGCTTGTCGATATACAGGCGACTTGGTTTTATTCTCATTAGCTCTCGTTATACTCGGAAGACCCTATAAGTTTGGCTGGGGGCCTTACGGACTGTATATATATATATAGTACATATACTGTATATATATATATAGTACATATCATATTTAGTTTAGCTGAACTCGTCGTCATTCGATTCACTGTGATAAATGTTATACATTTCAAACTCCTCCTCTTTCTCATATATATCATGCATTAAAAATTAAATAATTTTTTTTATTAGTAAAGCCCTTTAGACTAGCCGCAGAAAGGTTGAATGATTGGAGTAATAAATCTCCTCAGAGTTCGGGGTATTTGCTAGTCGGTTACTCCAGAGCATATAGCTCTTAATTGGTATTTATAAGTCAACCCCGACAATATCATGCGCTTGACAGCCGACCGAAAGTCACAATCGGGCAAATATTTAATTTAAAATGATTTTCTGCTTTGACTGGCGTCTGGAAGGACATTAAATTTGCTTTTGAAGTAACCACAAGTGCCTCAACGCTTGAGTAGTCATAACTCATGCGTTTGCCCACTCAAGTCAACAAATTCCCGGTACTAATTAGACGCACATCAAATTGCCATGAAGTTCGCATCAAAGAAACTGTAGCCCCTCAGCTGTTGCCTTGCATGGCAATTAAGTTCGTTTTAAGCAGCTAGTGAATGCGTTTATATCATCAGATTCAGCTAAAAATAGATATTCAATTCAATTGTATTCAATTTACACGCTCGCACGACTCACCTCTCACCTCCCACCTCCCACCACCCACTGGGGCGCGACAGTCAAAGGGCTGTCAGCTGAGCCTAATTGGCATGTTGTTCTCTGATAAGGGCGTATATGGAACTCAAAAGACCGTAACGTCACCTCTAGCCGCAGAGCTCCAGCCACCACACACTCGGCTCAACGCTGTGAGGGATTGGCAGCACCCACATAATAGCTTCAGCCGCATCTTATTGTCAAAGCCGCAATGATTGACACATCTCACGGCTGCAGGTACATCCATACAGCTGTAGGCGTGTGTATGTATGTGAGTGTGTGTGTGTTTGTGTGGAAATACTAAATAAAATTTACTCTCATTCAATTTGTTTTCTCACTTTTATCTAATGTCTTCAGCTCAGCGTGTGACGAAAATAAATGTTACAGAGCAAATAAGAAGTTTCGATAAATCGATTAATTTTCCTTTTCTTATATTATTATTTCGTTTTGTCAGCTTGTGTTATGTGAGTGAAATGCTCATAAAAATGTCTATAAAATGTTGGTTATTTTATTTTTAAATTTGTAAAAAGACAGTGTAATGCCAGAGTTCTGAAAAGCTCTTAACAATCGAGCTGTTAAGCTCATTAACAATCTGGGTTTAGTGGCAAAAATTTGGAATTAGATTATTTTTGTATTTGTAGACAGTCAATATTCTAGTCAAGCACTGTCTGTTAGCGTGCTGAAAAGCTCTTCACAATCGAGCTTTTAAGCTCATTAATAGTGGTTCAATGGATAAACACTCAAGAGTTGTTGGATCTAATTAATAATCAGAGTATTCTACTTTCTATAGTTGAGTTTATCACGTATTTATATGGAGAACTTTATGTCTATGTCAAATAGTAATGTGCTTTATTTCTGGAACGCAACATTTAAAGGCGAGTTGATTTTCTTGAGATTGAATTACAGACACCTAATGCAGCAGCAGCTGGGACAAAACTTGGACAAAATGTCAAGCAACGGAAATGATTCGATTTGATTGCTATCACAATGGGCGACAAATAGCGCACACAGACACACGCACACATGCACACAGATACACACGTGTAAACGGATATTTGTGGCATTTACACACATACACCGATAGAGAGAGAGAGCGAGAGAGTGAGAGATGTATATATATATTTGTACATTTGCAGCGCGCATTTGAGCCCATCGAAATTGATTAATGCCATCGGCGCCACAGACAATCCGCAAACATTGCAATTCACTTCGATGAGCCTTTAAATTTGCTTCTTTCAAGCCAAATCCAAGATGAATGTGCATTCCATTTGCGACAATTATTGTGTTTAATTTCAATGTTGCTTTTGCTGAGCTCGGCTAACAGAAGCTGACGGAGTGAATCGACATGGAATGCGAATTGAATGCGCTCAACTCTGAAATTCTTTTGTTCTGTTGTGCAAATTGAGTATGGGGCTATATACATATACATGTATAGTTTATAGGAAGTGTACTCACGTAAGATAAACAGAGAATATGCCGGAAGTCAAGCAGCAAAACCTTTCAGCTGCTATAATCAAATTCTATAGCAGGTCACAGTCTTATAGATCTTCGAGCCAATACCTCTGCAATAAACCTTTCAGCTATCTAATCAAAACGTATGGGGGGTTATAGTCTCATGGATCTGGGCCCTTATAATATGCCATTAGACCATTATAAATGACATAAAGTATGCATGCTTTATCAACATGTATAAATTTTCATTACCTATCGATGGCCATTAGGCTTCGACTTCTCTCTCTCTCTCTCTTTCTATCTCGCTCGGAAACCGACGGCCTCATACTCTACCGCAGGTCCAACAAGTTTCAGGCCGAACAGATTGTCGTGTCGCCAGTCGCAAATTGCATTTGTCTAGACTTGGCCGTCTACTAGGTCCGTTAACAAGATTGTTAAGCAAATGAAGTTAGTGTAAAATATTTGGACTGCAAGTGTAATAATTCTGCTTTGGGCCAACCGATGCATGCTCTATTTGGCTTTGTGTGAATCTCTGGGCGCACTTAGCTGAATAGATTGACCATTGCCAAAATGCTAGACAATCTGTTAAATATATGATGTACACACACACACACGCGCGCACACACACACATATCTGTGCGTGTGTGAGTTTGAGGTGTTGTCACAAAATCCAATCTGAACTCAAGCAAATAAATAAACAAAGCAAAGGCCCAGCCGAAATGGATAGGCGGGCAAATCTTTGGGATTTCGCATTGAAGCATAACAAGATGGGCAAATGTCTGCAGGTTGCCAGGACATACACATACACAGCTGAATAGATATGTGTGAGTGCTCAACGGAGCGAGCCCAACATGCCTCGCTGCTGCAACAACAATCGGAGGCAAACAAATTTGTTTCAATCACCGCACATGGCCGAAAAATGGTTGCCCCAGCTCAAACAAGAGAAAGAATGGCTGAGGGGCAACAGCTCGCCCCATCCATATTCATCTACCAATAAACGTATATATGTACATATATAAATTTGCAACTGTATGTGTGTTTGTGCTTTCTTGAATTTGCAGGACATACCGATACATGTGGCGATGATATCGCACATTCTGATTGCCTGGGATCGCATGCGCTGGCTGAATGATCCACTCAAGGGGCGCATACCTGGCTTCGTCTGCTGCTGTGCCACCTGGCTAACTGGTATGGTGATTGCCCTGCCCTATCCCATTTATACGATGTACGTGGAGCTTGGGGTGAGTACTAAATAAAGCCTGAATGGGCTTAACATTGTGCTTTATTAAAAATTACGCGCTGTCACATGTGTGTGTTTGACTGGATGTGTGTGTGTGTGGGTGGGTATCACTGTGTGTGTGTGTGTGTGTGCGTACCTGTACCTGCGCCCAGATCAAAGCGAATGCAACAGACCGTTAAAGCATTAAGCTACTTGGCGTGCCTCCCTCATAGACAATGAGTGCTCCATGCGCTGCGCTCTCAGTGCGGTTCAAGGAATCCGGCGTTAGCATTTTGAGAGGCAAATTTGAATCTCATTCAGTTGGCCTAGCTGCGCAAAAACAATCCAATTTTAACTGGAATTGGCAACCTTTATTATGCAATCCAATCAAATGTAAACAGCTAACTCTTTTATTGTATTTATTCTATTTTGTTGTTGTTAATCATTGTGCCATAATAATCAAATAGAGCCTCTTCGATCTATGCTCTCGAGTGAAGAATGCCACAGATGATGCAATGGAGCAAGCTCAGGTTGGGAGTAGTTTGTAGTTCCAATTTCTCCAATCGCCTGGCAAAAATAAGCAGGTTATCTCATTAGGTTCGGTTTGCCCAATGGTGTGTGTGTGTGTGTGCGTGTGTGTGCTTGGGTGGGTGTTGTTATACAACGAGCTGTCGTTCCGTTTGCATTCACATTGCCATTGTCTGGTAAAACCCCAACGGTCTGATTAGCAACTAGAAACTGGCAAATGGCAACTGCAACGGTTCATGGCAAGGCGCCCAAACAATGTGGGGCTTACGGGCTGAAACTGTGGCTCTGGCTCTGGCTCTGGTCTGGCTCTGGCTCTGTGGTTGTTGCTCTGGCTCTGTTTCTGTCTCTGTCTCTGTCTCTGGTTATGGCCATGGCTGTGCTGTCTGCATGGCAGCACGCTTGATGGTGTGTGGGCCAATTTGAAACTCGTTAACATGGCTTGTCAACTGCGCTTCTATTTCGCTGCCAAAATATTTGCAACATGGGGCTTTAAAGTGCGCCCACGACAACGACAACGACAACAACACACATAAATATTTATGGGCCATAAAGTGTTGCAACTTTTTGATATACTCAACGTGTTCATGTTTTCCTCCTTACCGTCTTCCTATTTCCATCTCTATCTCTCTCACTACCTCGCTCTTACTGGGCGTGTGCTTGCGCTTATATGTATGTATGTATTTAGACCTTCGTTTTAGTTGCTTGGCATCAATAACTATCAAATTCAGCGTAGCTAACTGCATTTAAGTATACCCTGTAGGCAAGCGACTAGTGGTAGCATCGACTAGAGAGTAAAGGTGACAATTTTAACAGTTGTTATATATTATATTAATTTTTTTTTTTTAATTTTTTAAATAACAACATTGCTGATTCCAGGATATTTTCTGGTTTTAGCTACCTTTTATACCTCAAACAAATTAAAAATTGGAAGTCAGGGTATCATGGTTCCATGAAAATGTCAGTAGGACCCCCTAAAGTGTATGTATATGTATATGTGCGCATACACAAAGTATATGTGTGTATGTTCCTCATTAAGACGACGAGCTGACTTGATTGATCGTTCGTCTGTCCGCCCACCCATCTGAGCCGCAGCAATCTCTTAAACTACAAAACCTAGGGTTTGCAGATTTTAAATGCATACACGTGTATGACGGTTTCATCATATGCTGTTCTCGAAATTCACTGGAAAGAGCAAACCCATTCACTCACTTTGGCTCTTTTCCTCTTTGTTTTCTGTTGAGCGACTCGAGTGGAACTATTCGTTTGACGAGCATCGTGTGCGGAGAGAGATATGATTGACGTTCGCACAATGAGACTCAGCAAATAACTCAAAGAGCCACTGCAAGCAATCCTCACATCTATTTGTCTATTTGCACGCACACACACGCACACAATTCACGGAATTGATATGTTTAACGAGCAAAACACTCGCATACATGTCAATGCATGCACTAAAGAATTTTTGCGTCATTTAACTGTTTCATTTCACAAGACAAACGATCATTAAAGAGCCGATGCTATCGACTGCGCCCTGAGTCTTTAAAGTACACTCATTTGCAGACAACAGTGTTTCTTTTGCGAACCATCGTGAAAATCAATAGTTTAACTTCATCTTAAGGCAAAGCTCCGATACAGCAAAATATGGCAACATTCAGTTTACTGTGTGGACTGCTGTAATGCATACATAGGCTTTGTATATTTAGGATTTTCGGTAGCTCCGTCCCATTCCAGGAAAAAGGGAAAGAGCTGCACTTCGGCACACATGTGTAAACATACATACACAGATACCACTATCATTGTCTGCATTGAAACAGTCCTTTTAAAAGGAAAGCTACTCTATAATTAAGTAGAGTCCATTAGAGAGATAATACACATTAGCTATGGACTCATTTAATAGAGTAAAATCATTAAAATTCCAACTCAGCGAGGAGTTCAGAGTAAATTCTCTTATTATTATACTATATATGTATATATATAAATATACTGTCTATTTTATTAATAATTGTCTACAGGGTATCTGCTAGTACATCTAGAGTTGCTTATTTTCAAATTTATATTGTTMTTGATKGTTATTATTATTGTGAGTTTTAGATATCAGTTATGCTAATATACGAATAATAATATTAATATTATAAAAAAATACAAAATAAAACATAGATTTAGGGGGACGGGAAGAGTGGGAGGTAGAGCAAGTCTGGGTGGCTTAGTGGAAATGTTTAAAATATACATACATCTACATATGTATGTATATGTGCACATACAACTGCAGGCTACAAAACTTTGTAAAGCAGAAAAGTTTCGATTAGAATAATGGAAATGGATACATGTATATACATACACACTTACATACACATTTATACATATTATTGGTTTTCATAGAAGCGACCCAAAACATTCGGCTGTGTTAATATTGTAAATGAATTTATGCCTCTAAATAAGAGAGCCACAAGATTATCATTTATATTCATTCATTCGAGGCGAGCTAATGAAGTGGCGCTGGGCGAACCAATTGTGAATTGGGATTCCCAGTTGTCACTTGGCCAAGTGGCTAAAGTGGCAGCACTCTTGGGCCGAGCAGCAGGTGGGTCTATAGGGCCAAGAGCCCTTAGCTTAAGCTCAGCCATGGGATATGCCTAACGGCTATGTTCGGTGCATACGTACATATATCATTATTGGGTCGGTCGGCTGGTCGGCTGGTCGGCTTGGCTTGGCAATTATATGCGGTATTTATGATGTTGCCGGGGCTATAGACTCGCTCTGCGACGTTTCTGGCGACAATTTGTATAATTTATGTGGCAGTTCAGTGAATGTCTGTTGCCCATAAAAACTGACAGGACGATGGCAACAAGTGGCACAACAAACGACGCGACGACGATGATGATGACGATGATGTCGATTGCGAGCATAATAATCGGCTCRATGATTATTATTATTACTGAGCTGCTTTAATGCCCACAATAAGGCTGATGATAATTGCGTCGATTTATAATATTTACGCCTAAAAGTCGATTACCATAACGCGAAACTACCAATACATTGCAATGTGAAAGTGAGTGTGTGTATGTGTGTGTGTGCTCATATGTGGTAGTCAAACTCAATCAGTCGTCAATAATATCATTAATGTGTGTGAGTGCGCGTGTCTGCTTAATTTGATAGAGCTCAAACACACACAAGCAGACTATAAGGACACGCAGATAGCGTCTAGATTCGTTGGCTGCCTTAGTCCTTGCCGAAACTCTTGGCCGAGAGGGCTTATTATCTCATTTGGGTTTGCCTCATGTGCAATTTATGAATATTTTACGTATACGCTATGGCCATATTACTCCTGAGGAGGGTCGAAGTGACGTGCCATTTGGCTTTGTATTTCTATTTGGGTTCAACAAATTGCTTTGACATGCGCGCACACATACACACACACACACACATACATATAGATGGGGCACACAGACAATGTGAACTTTGATTCGTCATGTGGCAAGTGATTCAATGATGCTTCTGAAATCTTTTACATTCCTTTGTGTGCTTTCTGTGATGAACAATGATATTCAAAAATCATTTTGATGCGAGTATATATCTATATATATGTAAACATATGTTGGCATATATGGTATGCATTAGTGTCGCATTCCCAACAAAATACAATATTTTATAATTCAATCAGTTTGGCTGGTCCTTAAGGATCCACTTCAGAGATAATCAATCATAAGTAAACTACCTACAGACTTTTCAAACTCTTTGATTCATGAACAATGACAGATCCTCAGCTATACCTTCTCTCTCTCTCTGGCAGCATATGAATCGCTTATCGATTTTTTAGCTTGGGCTTAATTGCCGCGTCTTTGGCCATAAGTCAGTGAGAGGAAATGCGACTCAGTTGCGAGTCGAGCCGAAGCTGAGGTTGGGCAACTTGAAGCAACCAGAGATTTCCACGCTTGGCCAACTTTCGTTCAAGTTTGTCAAAAAAAAAAAAGTTTGACAAAACGAAAAGCAAAGAAGAAGCAGAGGCAGAGGAAACAAAAAAAAAAAAAAAAAAACACTCAAATTGAAAATGTTTTTATTGTTTTTTATTGGTCCCATTCCGAGCCGAGCGGCCCAGCGTCCCATGTTGTGCAATGAAAATGTCAACGCCACAACAAATTTGCCTAGTCGAATAAAGGCAGAGGCAGTGGCAGAGGAAGGGGTTGAGGCAATCCTTTTACCCACATCAAGCCCAATCTGTCATAAGGGCGTGTGAATCTCGCCTTGCCCATGCGCCACATACATACATAATTATGTACATACCTATATGTATGTGAGTGTATTATTTTATTTTTATAATTCAGTGCCATAAAACTGTCAGAGAATTTCGACCGCAGACTGTCAATAAATTACGAGTTATGCGAGTCTAAACATTCGCCGGAGGAGGCTAAGGGATTTCTAACTAGCTCTGCTCCAAGTTTCAGTCGCCTGCTCGCTTCGTTTTCGGCAAATGGAGCTGGAGCTATAGCTGAAAGGCGTACAACATTGTCGGTACGTGCGTCGGTGCGCCCGGCCACACCCTGCGTCCCTGCCATGTGCAGTGTGGCCAGAGTTTATTTATTTGTTTACCACGATGGCATTGCTGGTGTGCGCAGCAAGGTCTTGTTACGAATATCCGCTTGCCCGCATTGACTTTGGCACGAAGCGTTTCCTAATCCTTGGGCCAGCACCCACGCAGCGGGGGGCGCACTTCCCCACAGCACACACCACCCCCCCACCCGCCCACAGTTCCCCCATTCGTCACCATTATTAACCATTGAACTTAGCCGGATATGCGCTTGGCAAGCGAAATTATGCTACAGGCCACGAGCCATCCGAAGCAAAAAGAAACAACAAAAGTTATCGTAAACAAGCGACGGACGAGGGCTAAACGAGGCTAACCAAATGACGAATACAATGTTTAAATTACTGAATGATATTTAATGGCATATTAACTTGAAAAGGGGCTGACATCAGAGGGCAATCAGTTTAAGGCGAACGAGATGAGGAGCCTTATACATATATACATAAACACATATATATGGTGTTGCGGCCAGAGGATCTCTTGATGATCACCGGAAAGCGCAAGCGTCAGGTCGACCATCCGACAGTGTTTTAGGATAGACTGTGTAATGTTTTTGTAATTAAAATGTGAAAAATGCTTTTAGAAATATTTACAAATTTTGCATAAAAATCAAGTTTCAAATTAGCTGATCTGGTCATGCGTCAACAGGCAGTTGCAGACATTCGCTCACTATTAAATTTTTTTTTTTTGGTTTTTGTTGTTTTGTTGTTGTTAATGTTGTTGTTGTTGTTGTTGTTGGTTTGTTGTGTTTTGCTGCATTGCAGCATTAAGCGTCACAGCTGAAGCGAACGACCTTGCGACGCTTCGGTCCATTTGGCTGCTTCAGGCATGACTTTAAAACCTGAGTATTGGTCTTGGCCTGGCTGTGATCCAGTGGCCTGTTCTTGTTTGGCAGCGATATGAAGTCCCGATACGCGTTGGCCGTTAGATTTTTATGCTTGTTGTCGGCCTCTATAGATTGTGCCGATAGATTGCATAGTTTGCCATTGGGGCTCTTGAGCATCGAGTAGAGCTGCGTTGAGTCCTTCAAGGGGAGATGCATTGACCTCAGGCCCAGCTTCTTTTGCATGCCCGTCAAGTTCATGTGAAACGAGTTTGACATGTCCAATAATTAGTGAGTCCGCGTTCTTGCCAACAGGGCCACAGTGCGTCGTTGCCAGATTGCTACCGGAAACTGAAAAGCCAATAATGAATTTAGCACAAAATACAATCGAAATTGCTGTGTGTGTTACTGATTAACAAACGTATAGGTCCAAAACTAAATAATTCTACGACAAACGACAATATTTCGAGCTCTCAATTTTAAACTGAATGTGAAAGCAATGTTGTCAAACATACAACGACTCGAGTTTTCGGCCCTTGTTTCCACAGTCTACTGAGAGACCCGGATTTCCCACCAAGCAAAGTGCGTCGACATATATCTTGGGTTCCACTAAGCCATTGCCAACTCACCCATATGCATATTTTTATTTATTAGATGGCAGAATTTTAAATTTATATTCATGTCAAATGTCCGGGTGTCATGTTGGCTCAACTGTCTGTGAAAGCTGCGCAACTCTGTGGAATGGAATGGAACAAAATCTTGTTTTCTTTTGCGTTTTTTTTTTATTTTATTATTATTATAATTTTTTTTTTTTTTTTTTTGAGAAAAAGATGGACAAATATGCAATATTTTATTGCTGCACTAAATAAATCAATCAAATTTAAATATATATAATCCACATTACTATTTGAATACACTGAATATGTGGGAAATCAGAATGTATTTTTTTTTTATGAAAAAGTGTGTAACAGGCAGAAGGAGGCGTGGCGGATTTTATTATATTTTTTTAATTCGATTTTATTTAGAAGAGTTGAGTGACTTGCGTTGGCTTGAACTGCTGGCGCAGCTCGAAATAAAATTTTAAAAATTCGATAAGTATTCCCATATATATCGATAATAACAGTATCAAAATTTTACTGTTAAATTATACTGTATACGTCTGTGCAGCTCGAGTCTCGCGACTATGTATGTCTATCTATCTTATGTTTATCTTGCACAATTCAGTTTTTTATGTATATGTACATACAGTAGAATACCGATAATTCGAAATGGCAAGGAGATCGGGTTCGATTTACACTCGAATTCAAATTATAGAGAATTATTGAGAATGATTTTCTTTCAAGAGGATAGAAATTCTTTCGATTTATCGCGATTTTCGATTTGACGAGCTACGAATTATCGAGACTCGACTGTATATAAATTTTTGAGTTCACCAAATTCTTTAGGTCAGTTGCAAGTATAGGTAATATGTGAACAAGTTGGCTTATTTACTAAATTACAAACTATTAAATGGGTTGAGTAGATCATATTCTGAAAATTTCAATGGAATCTACTTAGTTATGCAGAAGTTATAAAACAAATCGTTTGGTTAGTTGGCAAAAGGAAATGGGCTAGCATTGGGCTTATACACATGCCCACCTACATTCAAATATGTGAGTCTTTGCCTATTCAAGGGAATCGAAATTCCGATTGTAATTGGAGCATCGCCAGTCGCAGTGAACTGACGGTGCTAGTAGAGCTGATGTGAAATTGTGAGCTCCACTTTACATTTTACATTTTACATTTTTGGTTTGCTTCACWTTCGGTTCGTTCGAGGCTCGAGGGCGGGCATCTGCAAGTCGAGTGCCTATCAGATTTGTTATTTGTGATTTATTATCATATTTCATTTATTCTGCGAAACCAAAGCCCTGAACAACTAGTTTGGCTACATGCTCGCAATCCAACATTATCGCCGCAATTGCCCTTTGTTTATTAATAGCGCAACAATTTGAGTTTGTTACGCACATGCGAATGCCGCACGGAGCGGAAATCGAAACGAAGCGGTCCGCAGGCTGCTCTTCTATTCAGTTGCGTAGGTTCCCTTATTATTGTAATTTTTACGTTTTTTGTATGTATTTTTCTTTTATTAGGAGCATCATTATTGTTATTATTATGAGTGTAACTTTGTTAGGGACTCGCGCGTGGGCCTGCCTGAGCCTTATTAAATTTCCCATTTGCCGACCTACCCATGCAAATGGCGTTCAGTCGAAGCAAATGTGCTGCGCAACGCCATGGCCCATGGGCCACACGGGCTGATTGCATTTATGGATGTAGAGACGCATTGCTATGCATATGCTGCGAAAAAAGCAATTGAAACTCATGTCCAAAGTTCCGAAACGATCAAATTGCAAATGTAATTGGGCATCTTTTGAGCAGAGGTAAAGTAATTTCAAGATGAAACAGATGAGCTTTGCTTGTTCGGTTTCGAATGAGCTGCAATCGCCTTTCATCTGGCTGTATGACAGCTCATGGACGAAGCATGCTCAAGCGAGGAGCATTTCTTATGTCCGATTATTGACACAATTCCACTCCAGCCATGCATAGGACAGGGCCAACAGATGCCAGTTAATCGAATGTGTAAGTTTCGACTCAAAAGCTATACCAGCTCACAATGCTTGCCCCGCACTCGCCTTCATTACTAATGCAGTAGAGGGTCGTCCCGGCCAGCGAATGCCAGTGAGGGGGACCTGAAATATGTAGCATACTTATAAGGGCACATGTCAGTGATTTTCTTTGTGTGCTTCGCATTGCTAGCAACCCGCAGCGTCTGTCCGTTGCTAGTGCTGAAATGCTGCTAGATTTGTTGCACATGCAACTACATAAAAAACCGATTCACTTGAGTGTGTTTGCTTTTGTGCGTGTGGTTGCAAGCAGCATGGTGATGGTGTGTGTGG